TTATTAATCTTCCAATATTCAATTATTTTAGGATATCGAATTTTTACTAAAATTCTCCTCTAAATCAATTATTTAAATCAGAGTGGTCACAAGTTTCAGTTTATCAATTTCCCTGACAATTTACTTAATAATTTTCGAAAAAGTTCTTTGACAATTTTCAAATTCATTTCTTTACCTACAATATACGTCGGTGAAGTTTGCAACGTTTATGATCAACGATTGAAAGGAAAAAATTATTTTTTTATATTAAAATGAATAAAATTTTTTGTTTACAAATATTTCTTTTTGTAAATTATTATTCAAAAAACTAACCAAAATATTTTCTATAGAAAAATGAATTAAAATTTGTTAAAAAAAATATTATTCCTTTTAAATCGTTGATTAAAAACGTTGTAAACTTCACCAACGTTACAATATTCAATTTTACGAAATTTTAATTATTCGTAAATTCTTTAATTAAATAAATATTAGAAAATAGAAACTAAAAATAATATTTATAAAAATCAATTAAAGTTTTTCAAAAAATTTAATTACAAATAATTCAATTATTTTATAAAATTCACTCTCTATTGCATTTAATATTCAATTATTATTATCTAAAATTTTAACTGAAATTCATTTTTATGAAATGAAAATAAATTTTTATTAGAAAATTCTACTAGAATTCAATTATTTAAATACAAATAAAATGCAAATAAATAATTTATTGAAGAATTGAACGTTTCTTAAAATTCAATTCCCATAAAAAATCGTTATCAACAAATTTTCAAATAATTGAATTCTATCAACGAATTTTAATAAAATTTTTAAGAATAATTACATTTTTCGAGAAATTCGATTAAAATTGTATTAAAAATATGTAATTGAAATTCTGCATTGAATTTTATTATTTATGAAAATAATTGAATTCTTTCGAAGAATTTTATTAAAATTTTCAAAAATAATTAAATTCTTGTAAAAAATTAACAGGAATTCAATTATTTTTAAAAATTTTAATAAAATTCTTGGCATAAATTAAAAATAACAAAATTCTTAGCAGATCTTCAATTGCATTCAGAAATTTTAATAAAATTTATCTCAAGAATTTAAATATTTTCGTAAAATAATAAAAATCTTTGCAGAGATTCAATTATTTTCAAAAGTCTTAATAAAATTCTTCGCAGGAATTCAGCTAAGATATTTTAACTAAAATCTATTTTTAAATCAATGTTTATGAGAAAATTCTACGGGAATATCAATTATTTAAATACAAAAATAAATTATTTATTGAATAATTGAATGTTTCTTGGAATTCAATTCCTATTAAAAATTTTTCCAACAAATTTTTAAATAATTAAATTCTTTGGACGAATTTTAATAAAATTTTTAAGAATTTTTTCAAGGAATTCGATTATAATTCTATTGAAAATAATTGAATTCCTAATAAGAATTTTATTTATTAAGAAAATAATTGAATCCCCGTAAAAATTTTATTATTTATGAAAATAGTTGAATGATTGCGAAGAAATTTATAAAAAAAATTTGTTACCAATGAAATTCTTGTGAAATTTTTATTATGTTTTGAAAATAATTAAAAGTTTTTGTAGAATTTTATTAAATTTTTTTTTTAAAATAATTAAATTTTTTTGGTAAATTTTATGAAATTAGTAGATATTGAACAATATTTAATTTTTGCAAAGAATATTATTACTTTTGAAAATAATTGAAATTTTGCAATGGATTTTATTTAAATTTTTGAAAAATAATTGAATTTTATTACTTTAGAAAATAATTGAATTCGTGTGATGAATATTGTTAATTATGAAAATAATTGAAATTTTGTAATGAATTTTAATAAAATTTTTGAAAATAATTGAATTTAGGAGAAGAATTTTGCTATTTATTTATAAAGATAATTGAAATGTTGACAATGTTTTTTATATTTTTTGAAAATAATTGAATTTCGGAGAAGAATTTTAACATTTCTAAAGATAATTGAAATTTTGACGAGAATTAAAAAAAATTTTTGAACATAATTGAATTTTTGCGAAGAATTTTATTACTTTTAAAAATAATTGGCTTTCTGCAATCATTTGTAATTTCTCTAAAATTCTCAAAATTATATCGTACAATTTACCAACTTTTCATCCTTTTTAGGGTTCCGTATCCGGTAGGAACCCTATTAAAACGGTTACGGAAAATGACCATGTACGGGGGTACATGGTCGATGTACGCCCCCCCCCCCCTAGCGCTCAAAGTTTTTCATCTAGAGAGCTAAAAATTGGTACACTTATGTATTTTCACGCGTAGATTGCACGAAAAATATAGCGAACGTGATTGGAGTTAATCTTCATAGAGTTTTTCGCGAAAAATGGATTTAAAATGGATTACAGGAAAAATATATAGCCAACATATTTGATATTGATCTTCATAGTGTTTTCATCGCAAAACTCGAAAATTTTGAAAATTTCGAAAAAATGCATGTACCCCCTTCCTGGCGCCCACGGTTTTTTATCTAAAGAGCTGAAAATTGGCATACTTATTAGTTTTTACGCATAGATTACAGGAAAAATATAGCGGAAGTGATTAGAATTTATTTTCATGGTGTTTTCATCGAAAAACTAAAATCTCTTTTTGCAAGCTCGAAAATTCTTTAACCCTTGCTGCTTCTCTCAATTCTTAATCTAGTGGACTTCATCTTCATATTTTTTTTTGCGAAAAACTAAAAAAAAAGTGTTTACCCCCCCCTTGGTTTTCACCATTCTTGGCCTATTGGACTATAGTTTTGCTTATTTTATGAATTTTTATGTGTAGATAATTTTCATTTTTAAATTTACATATCTTTTAAAGATTTTTTATTAAAATTTTTGATAATTCAATTATTTTCAAAATTTGCAATTAATCTTCTTCAAAAGTTGATTTTTGAAAAATTTATATTATCTTATAAATTGATTGAAAAATAATTTTTGAAAGATTTGTCTATAGTTATTTTTTCACACTATATAAAAATCGAAATAAGTTGCATTTTATACTTAAATAAAATGTGGTAGGTATTTTGTTGCAATATTTGGAAGATAAAATTCGAAAAAGTCACAATTTTTGAAAATAAATCGAAAAAAAGTCTCAATTTCCTTCCCTGACTTTACTGACATGTGGCAACCCTGTAAATAGAAAAATTCTATTTTTTCGTAAAAATTGCTGTATTTTTTTAATTCGGTACTGTTTTCTTTTTTTATTTTCATTTATTTCTTTAATATAAGTTAATATGTAATTAATTACTTATAGCTATTACGTTATTATTAAATTATCATCGTTTAATTTTTATTAATAAAATGCCCACATATTTTTAAACAGAGAGAAAATTTATAGAAAGCTTAATAACTTTATTAATTTATTTTTAAATTTAATTGTTGAATGAAAAGTTTGAGAAATGTCAAACGTTTCTTGAACGTACAGTAGTATAAAAACTTACTGTTACATTTTTTTTGTTTAAAGACTCTTCGTTATTTTAAAGTGAAAAATGTGTTAATAAATTTAACTTTATCGAATTTTCTATAACGAATCGTCTTTTTTTTAACATCAAATTTCTCACGAATGTTTGACAAAAAAATACTTTTTACAATTATTAACGATAGAGTAGAAATAGCTTAAAAAACTACTATCGATTATAATTATTATGGACTCTAGTCAGGGACGTACGAAAGAAATATTTTCTGGGATCCTACAGATCTCTCCTGCCTAGCACACAAATCTTACACCACTGTATTTAAATAACTCAGCTTAATTGAATCATTTAATCAAATATAGTAACTTAATCACTTATTTTCCCTTTTGAAAAATGACTAATTGTCAATTTAATCAACTTAATCAATTTCAAAGGGACTGGAATAACTTTTATTTTTAACATAACCTAAAAATTAAATGAGTGAATCAATTATATAGAAAAATGTCATGAAACGTTGAAGGAAATTATTGAATTGAAAGGATTGAAAGAAATTACGAATAGAGGTGAAATGTATGTAGTTTGGATTGGAAATATTTCGAAGAAAGAAAGAGAGAGAAAGAATTATGGAGAGGGAGGGAGGGAGGGGGAAGGTACTGTAGAGAGCACGTGAAATGATTTTCTAGGAAAATACTTCAAGGGCGAGGGAGAAGTGTGGAATGAGCAAGGCTACAAAAGAAGGAAAAAAAGACGAGATGCAATCAAAAAGATGTTTGCGACGCAATGCTCGTCGTGAGAAGACACTTGTAAGAATAACGTCGTCACACACACATTCTCTCTCTCTCTCTCTCTCTGATGTCTCGCCAACAAATAGTGCATACATCTCCCCGGTTATATAACTTTCCTATGCGCGAAATCTCTTTTTAATCTTTAATCAGTGCATTCGACTCGACAGTCGACTTGTGCGATCCTGCAACATAGTTCGAAGGAGGAACGACCTTGCAGACCGGTACTTGGGAAATAGACAAAAACTTGGGCACAAGAGAATCACAGGCGCGGCGCGCATTTAGCCCTCTTTAACGGTTTTTCCCCCCCGAGACTTATTGTTCGCAACATTCCTCTAATGCACTGCTCGATATACTCTCGCATGCCAATCCTGTGTACTCACAACGTAAAACAATGAATCCCCTCATCTCTCTCTCTCACTCACTCACTCACTCTTTCACTCACTCTCGATTCGTTAGAAGAACGTGGCCATTATCTCTCTCCATCTCACTCGCGCAAATCGCGAAATTATCGAAAACTTTCCAATTCTCGCAAAGCATCGATCGACAGGGGGAAAATGAAGAGGAAACGTTAATTTTAATACTTGTGTTGATTAGTCATGGTATAAATTAGTAGAAAATGTAATGCGCGAGAGAGAGAGAGAGAGGGAAGAGTAGGTCGAGAAACTCAAAAGACACAGCCAGGGATTCTCTCTCTCTCTCTCTTGCGCGCTCGTTTTCTCTGTCTCTCTCTCTAGAAAGGGTTTCTCGCTCTCTTTGTGGTTGGGGAAAAAAAATGAAAAGCAGCCCTTTACCTCCGAAACACTATCCTCCTCACTCTCGGACGAATCTGTCATAAAGCGGGGTTGCAATTCCGAGAAAGTCTCGTTCGACTTTGTTGGACTGGAGATGGAAGATTGGGGAGTTGACGACGTCTTCCCAATGTCGTGGTGAACACTCAATGCTTTCTCGTTCTGTGTTTTATGTTTCTGGTTACTATCCGCAGTTGTTACATTCTGCATTTTTACCTGTCGGATGAATCATATGCCACCAATTTTTTTTTTATTCTATTCTCACGCCACGAAATCACCCACGAAACACTCTTCGAAAGACAATATCACTTTTTGCCGTCATTCACGTAAGCTAATACCCGCCATGTCTACCTGATGTCTACTGGTTTCGGCACTCGGCTTTCTCGATTGTCGGCTCGGCAATTGTCGCAAATTTTCGGCATTGACGGTGTCGCTGCTAGCTGTCGGTTCGACAACTTCCACTACCACACTAACACAAGTATACACTGGACATAGGTCTATAAATATATTTAAACACTGTATCAACACTAATCGGCTCTCTAGACGCACACAAGCGAAAAATAGCACATCGACACGCCTGCTGCCGCAAAAGCCATCGCAAAAGCCGCTATGGCCGACGAAACGAAGACACACGTCCGGTTCAACTCCACAAACCACTACCAATAAATGCAGCTATTCTCTCTCGCTATTGGTCGCTCTTCCTTCTTTACCATTCCCGCCCTATTTTCAAACAAAGATCTTTCATTTTTCACAAATAACTTTATTATATCAATTTTTCTATTCTCATTCTTGTAAATTAATTCTTGTAAAGCCAAGTTCATTTCTGAACAATCTTCAACGATTTTCTAAAATATTGACATTTCTTTTGTTTTTTTTACACACAACACCTAACAATTGATTTGGCCACTAAAAGCTACTATTTCTGTTTTTTTTGAGAATTTCCACTACTTAAGGTCAACATTTCAATTATCTTTATAAATAATAAAATTCTTCGCAGAAATTCAATTATATTCAAAAATTTTTTTAAAATTCTCGTCAAAATTTTATAAATAATAAAATTCATTATGGAAATTTAATTATTTTCAAAAGTTCTGATAAAATTCTAATACAACATTCAATTATCTTCAAAAGTACGAAAATTCTTCGCTAAAATTCAATTATTTTCAAAAAATTATTTTAAATTCTCCTCACAATTTCAATTATCTTTATAAATATCAAAATTCTTCTGCAAAATTCAATTACTTTTAAACATTTTTAAAGAAATCTGTTCAAAATTTCAATTATTTTTATAAACAATAAAATTCTTCTCTAAAATTTAATTATTTGTAAAAATAATAATAAAATTCTTATCAAAATTTCAATTATCTTTATAAAATAATAATAAAATTCTTTTCTGAAATTCAATTATTATATTCAAATTTTTTTTTCAAATTCAAATTTTCTCGATAAAATTCTTTACAAAATTCAATTATCTTCAAAAGTTAGAAAACTCTTCTGCAAAATTCAATTACTTTTAAATATTTTTAAAAAAATCTGTTCAAGATTTCAATTATCGTCATAAATAATAAAATTCTTCTCTGAAATTTAATTATTTGTAAAAATAATAATAAAATTCTTGTCAAAATTTCAATTATCTTTATAAATAAAAAGATTCATCCTAGAAATTCTATTATTTTCAAATTTTTTTTTAAATTCCTCGTCAAAATTTTATTTATTTTATTCATGAATAATAAAATTTACCCTGGAAATTTAATTATTTTCAAATGTTCTGATAAAATTCTTTGCAAAATTCAATTATTTTCAAAAGTAAGAAATTTCTTCGCAGAAATTCAATTATTTTCGAAATTTTTTACCATGTTGAAGTCCACAACGTTGATCAACGAAAAAAAATTTTAAACTTAGTAAATTAATTAAAAATGACGCTGCAATATTGTCACAAAAATATTTCGAAATAAAAGATTGATGTTTATATTTTGATAATAATTATTTCGCAATTAAATATTAAATTAAAAATAATACTTGAATGCATTAAATAAGTTTATTTCGTTGACAAACGTTGTGGACTTCAACTTCGTAATTTTTTTAAAATTCTCCTCAAAATTTCAATTATCTTTGTAAATATCAAAATTATTCTGCAAAATTCAATTACTTACTAATGTTTTATAAATTTCTTCTCAATAATTCAATTATTTTCATAAAAAATAATTAAAATTTTTTTTTATAAAGTCTTATAATATAAAATAATGATTTTATCACTCGGAGTGATCGATTTCTTCATGTTTTATAACAATTTTTGATAAGTTGTTTAATTTCAAAAAGGTTTGAATTTGAATCTTTTGAAGAATTTTATTTCCTATGGAAAAATAATAATTAAATATTTATTTAAAAAAGAAGTTATTGACGTTTTCGAAAAATTTGAAAGAAATTTGTAAATAAATGTAACAGATCATTTTTTTGACTAAAAGTTTTTCCTTCAATTTTCTAAAAATTTTAAAAGTTTCACTTTCTAATTGACAAATAGAATTTATAAACATTTTTTTTTCATTAATTTTTAAAAAACTTTTTTAAAACTTAAAAAAAAAAAAAAAAAAAAAAAACTTAAAAAAAAAAAAACTTTTTTTAACTTTTTTTTTTTTTTTTTATTAAAGCAATTGTAATTAAGAAATAGAAATGATGCAAATTGTTTCCTTATGAAAAATTAAGAATTTCCTACAAAAATATTAAGAAACGAGATAATATGTTATGCTTTTTTTCCCTAAAGAGAAGAATGATTTTGTGAACAAAAACATTTCGAAAAAATCAATTATTTATCAAAATTTTTATACAATATTCTTCGCAATAATTCAAATATTTTCACCAATAATTTTTCATGAAAATTCAATTTTTTAAAAAATTTTTTGATAAAATTCTAAGTAAGAATTTAAATATTTTCATAAATAATAAGATTTCCACAAAACTTCAATTAATTTAGAATAGCTTAGAATTACTTTCACTAATAATGACATTTTTCATGGAAAATAAATTATTTAAAAAAATAAAATTATTGATAAATTTCTAATTAAGAATTCTATTTTCATAAATAATAAAATTTCGCTTAAGAATTTAATTATTTAAATAAAAAATTGATAAAATTCATCAAAAATTCAATTATTTTCACAAATAAAGATTTCCACGAGAATTCAATTATTTAAGGGCATTTGAACCTTGATGACGTTACAGATTGTGCAAAGAATGTGTGACGTCATCAAGGTTCAAATGCCCTTAAAATAAAATTTTCATAATATTTATTATATTTCGAACAAAATTAATTAATTAAAACAATATTTATAAAATTCTTATGAAGAATTCAATTAATTTCAAAAATAACAACATTTTTCACATAAATTCAATTATTTTTGAACATTTTAATAAAATTTTTTGCAATAATTCAATTATTTTCATAAATAATAAAATAATTCTTCTCAGGAATTCAATTATTTTTGAAAATTTTAATTATTTTTAATACAATTTTACAGGAATTGCTAAAAAAATGTAATTATTCTTAAAAATTTAATTTCAATTCCTTTGAAAAAATCAATTATTTAAAAAAATGTTTTTTTAAATTTCTTTGGATGAATTCAATTATTTACAAAAATATAAGAATTTTTCACAGGAATTCAATTATTTTCAAATATTTGAATAAAATTGTTCAAAAGAAATCAATATTATTTTAAATACAATTTGAATTAAATTTTTTTGAAATAATTAAATTATTATTCTTTTAGATTTTAATAAAATTCTTTCCAAGAATTCAATTATTTTCATTAATAATTCTTCGAAAGAATTCAATTATTTGGATAAATAACAAAATTATTCCCAAAAATTCAATTAATTTTAGGAATTTTAGAAAAATTCTTTGCAAAATTCAATTATTCAAGAATTCAATTATTTTTAAAAGTAATAAATTTCTTCTTGGAAATTCAATTATTTTTAAAAATTCTAATAAAATCGTTCGCATTAATTCAATTATTTTCATAAATATAAAAATGCTTTTTAGGAATAGAATTATTTTCAAAAAAATTTAATAAAATGTCACACAGACATTCAATTATTCTCAAAAATTTTAATAGAATTTTTTGTAAAATTTTATTATTCTTAAAAACTTTTCGCAATTTAATGATTTTCAATTTCTACAAGAATTTTATTGACATTTTTGAAAATAATTCAATTGAATTTTGGGGAAGAATTTTGATATTTATAAAGATAATTGATAAATAATTGAAATTAATTAAATATTTATATTGAAAAATTTAACTAAATTCAGAAGAATTGGAATTATTGATATATTATTATTTATTGAAAATTTATTGAATAATTACATATGTTTCTTGAAATTGAATTCTTTTAAAGAATTGTATCAATCAATTTTCAAATAATTTGAAGTCTTTGCAAAATTTTATTAAAATAGTACCTAGATATAAAAAATAATTAAATTAGGGAAAATTTTTGAAAATAATTGAAATTTTGCCAAGAAATGTATTAAATTTTTGAAAATAATTCAATTTTAGAGAAAAATTTTATTATTTATAAAGATAATTGATAATTTACGCAAAGAATTGCATTAAAAATTTTGAATGCAATAATTTTATTCTTTAAAGAAATTTAATTAAAAATTTATTGAAAATAATATTTAAATTCTAATAAATAAATTGCAGCAAAGGTTATTAAAATAATTAAATTTCTTTGATAAATTTTAATAAAATTTTTAAGAATAATTACATTTTTCGAGGAATTCGATTAAAATTGTATTAAAAATAATAATTGAAATTCTGCAAGTAGCTTTATTATTAATCAAAATAATTGAATTCCTAATAAGAATTTTATTATTTGCCAAAAAAATTAAATACCTGTAAAAATTTTATTATTTATGAAAATAATTAAAGGTTTGTGTAGAATTTTAGTAGATTTTTTTTTAATTTATTGATTTCTTTTGGAAAATTTTATTAGAATAGTATAGATACCTATTAAAAATCATTGAATTGAGGAAAAATTTTGAAAATAATTGAAATTTTTCTAAGAATTTAATTAAAATTTTTGAAAATAATTGATATTTCGGAGAAGAATTTAATTATTTCTAAAGATAATTGAAATTTTGACGAGGATTTTTAAAAATTTTTGAACATAATTGAATTTTTGCGAAGAATTTTATTACTTTTGAAAATAATTGAATTCTTTCAATTATTTGTAATTTCTTTAAAATTATCAAAATTATATCGTATAATTTACGTACTTTACGGACCTTTTTCAATCAAATTACGGACTTTACGGACCTTTTTTTCAAAAAAACGGACTTTTACGGGATTTACGGACCTAGTTCGAGCCCTGCTAAACCAAGTTAATTATGTTTTGCTAAAATTTTACTGATGACAATTTGAAATTTCAACTTCTTCCACATTTTCTATTATTTTTCATTGCTGAATTTTTCATAGGCTTCAAGTTAATGATTCTGATCAACCAATCGTATGAGTCTAGAAAAATTTAAATTTTTTCAAAAAATAAAATTTCGAGAATACACAAAATAAAATTCATAAAAAATGTTAATGATAAAAGAATCACTTGAAATTTGTTACTCGGGAGTTTTTTTAGATCGCTGATTATGAATTTGAGGTCGGATTTACTAAATTCAAAATGGCGGATCCAATATGGCGACAGAAAATGAATAAATAAATATTTAAAAAGAATGATTAATATTGCAGATATTAGATATTTCTTTTTCTTTTTAATTATTTTGAATTACTTTTTTTAATCGAGCCATTTCTGCAACTTAGTGATTTTAGCTGATATTTTGACAAAATAAAATTGATTTTTTAGATAATTAATGTCTAATTAATTGATGCGGTCTGAATAGAATAATAAAAAAAGAATCATAAAAAAGTGCTTTACTTCCAAGGCAGTGACTGTAAATATAAAAATTTCAATTTTACTAGCGCCTTTGTTAGTTCCATTTTTATTCAAACTTCTCTCAGAATGTTAACAATTTTTTACATAAAAATTAAAACTAATTTTTAAAGGATTTATAAAATTTAATATTTAAGTAAAATATATTCAATTTTTTTATTTTATATCGAAAATTATTATTATTATTATTTATAAATTATATGTACATTCACGATATAAAATTGATTTAAAAAAAAAGAATTTATAAAAAACATTCAATATTTATCTCTAGAACTGAACATGGTAGACACAATTCAAATTTCGAAATAACATTCGGATGCAAAACTCCCATCTTACCAATTGTTTTACCATAAACAATAATTTCGGCACAGCGTTGTGGGAAAAATGTTGGATCTGAAAAAAATAAACATTTATTGAAATTTCTTTTTGAAATTCTATTAAAATACTGTTAAAAAGGTTTGATTACAAAAATTGGACCAATATGAAAACAAAAGAAGAAAAACAATTAAGTAATTAAATTTTTTCCAAGATTTTTAAAAAATCAAGATCGTAAACAATATTCTTTTTTAGCTTCATTAATTAAGAAAATTAATCAAAAGACTATAATTAAAATAAGGTTTGCGTGTTTTTGATGTATGAAAAAAGTATGACAATTTATTGTTGTCATTTTTTTCATAAACTGCATTTAGGGCTAGAAATTTCTAGTTTTTTTTTCAGTAATTCAACTTTTAATACAGGATTGCCACAAGTCAGGGAAGTCCGGGAATTCAGGGAATTCAGGAAAAAATCAGGGATTTTTATTAAAAGTACTGGAAAAAATTTAAGTTTTAGAATTTATAAGAAAATTCTCAATTTTTGTGTCTTTTTTGTTTGCCTCATAAACTATGAAATTGACAAGAATTTTAATACAAAACTTTCAATTTTTTCTGTTTATGGCAATAATTTCTTTTTAAATGACTTAATTCTTCAAGAACTAGCATAAAATTATTACTTAGAAATTATTTAATGAACAATTTTACTTCAAAATTTTCAAAATTAATTAGATTTCAAAAGAGTTGCGTTTAAAATCTGCAAAAATAGATCAACTTTCAAAGGCTTCAATATGAAATTTTTAAAAATTTCAATTTTTAATGAATTTAAATAGAAATTTTAAGAACAACTGATTACAGAAATTCAATTATTTTCAAAAATTTATAAACATTCTCGTCAAAATTTCAATTATTTTTATAAATAATACAATTCTTCTCCGAAATTCAATTATTTTCAAAAAATTTAATAAAATTCTTGGCAAAATTTCAATTACTTTCAAAAATTTTCCTCATTTCAATTATTTTTAATATCTACTATTTTAATAAATTTTTCCAAAAGAATTCAATTATTTAAACAAAATTTTAATAAAAATTTCACAGGAATTCAATTATTTGCACAAATAATACATTTTTTATGGGAATTCAATTATTTGAAAAAAATTTGAATAAAATTCTTCGTAAGAAATTAATTATTTTCATAAATAATAAAATTTTTCTCGAAAATTCAATTATTTTGAAAAATTTTGAGATAAAATGCTTTATAAATTTGAAAAATTATAATAAAATTGACTATAGAATACAATTATTTTCGTAAAATATAACATTCCTTATAGGAATTACAATTTTACTGTCAAAAATGTTTGTAAAAATCTTGGAAACAATTCAATTATTTTCTTAAAAAATAAAATTCTTCGAAGCAATTCAATTATTTAAGATATTTTAATTAAATTCTTCCGAAGAATTCAATTTTTTTTCAAAAATAAAACTTTTCACAAGAATTCAATTATTTAAAAAAAAATTTAATGAAATTCTTCGTCAGATTTCAATTATTTTCAATTTTTCAATGAAATTTTGTCGATGGAATTTAATTATTTTCAAAATGTTATAAAAAATTCTGAGAAATTCAATTATTTAAAAAATTTGAATAAAATTCTTCACAAGAAATTAATTAATATCATAAATAATAATATTTTTCTCCGGAATTCAATTATTTTCACAAATAAAATATTCTTCGCAGGAATTCAATTCTTTAAAATTTTTTTTAATAAAATTCGTTGCAAGAATTAAATTACTTTTAAAAATAACAATATTTATATTTATAGCAGAGTTTCAATTATTTCTTTATGTACAATTTTACACAAACTGATAGAAAATTGCATTTATTCTTTATAATTTTATTAAAATTCGCTGAAAGAATTCAATTATTTTAAAATTTTTTTATAAATTTCTTTAAAAATATTCAATTTTAAGAAATATTTATTATTTTAAGAAAATAATTAAATATTTGCGTAGAATTTTATTAAACTTTCTTTAAATTATTGAATTTTTTTGGAAAATTTGATTAAAATAGTACATATTGAAAATCATTAAACTGAGGAAAATTTTTGAAAATAATTTAAATTTTGCCGAGAATTTTATCAAAATTTTTTAAAATAATTGCATTGATACGAAAAATTTTAACAAAATTTTTATAAATAATTGAATTTTTGCAACGAATTTTATTAAAATTTTCAAAAATAATTGAATGCTTACGAAGAAATTTATTATTTTTTTTAAATAATTGAATTCTAGCATTATTGCGAAAGAATTTATTAAAAATTTGTAAATCATTGAATTCTTGTAAAGAATTTTATCAAAAAATTTGATAATCATTGAATTTCTTCGTAGACTTTTATTATTTATGAAAATAATTGTATTTTTGGGAATAATTTTATGAAAATTTTTGAAAATCGTAATTCAATTTTTTGGAAGAAATTTTTTCAATTTTTTTTTAAATAATGAAGTTTCTTTAATAATTTTAATTGAAAATTTTCAAAGTAATTAAATTTTATATTATGAACAATTTCTTTCAAGTTTTTACAATAATCGTGTTTCTTGATAATTGAAATTAAACATTTAATTTTTGAATTTTATTAAAATTTTTAGAAAATAATTGAATTCTTTTGAAAAATTTCTTTAATTTATTGAATACAATTGAATTTGTTAATAACAGTATTGAAAATAATTAAATTTCTGAAAAAAATTGTATTATTTATGAAAAATAATTTAATTCTTACGATGAATTTTACTATTTATAAAATTAATTGAATTGTTTCAAAGGATTTATTAAAATTTTTTAAAAAATTGAATTTTTTCATGAAATTTTATTAAAATTGTATTAAAAATAATTTTGAATTTTGGCAAAGAATTTTGTTATTTCTCTAAATAATTAAGTTGTTTCAAGGATTTTATTAAAATTTTTGAAAATAATTAAATTTTGGAGGAGAATTTTATTATTTATAAAGATAATTGAAATTTTGATGAGAATTTAAAAAAATTTTTTAACATAATTAAATTTTTGCAAAGAATTTTATTACTTTTGAAAATAATTGAATTTCTGAGAAGAATTTTATTATTTATGAAAAATAATTTAATTCTTACGATGAATTTTACGTAGTTTATGAACGACCCCTTATATAAATAATCAATCCAGATTTCAAATGTTTACACACTTGTCAATAAAAAAGTGATCTTTGATGGCTGAGAGATATCTTTGCAAAAATTATAATTTTTTTTTCTTTTAACTTTTTATCATAAGTATTTATAAAATTTCTATACATTTACTCATTTTCTGTTAATTTAGAAATTAAATTTTGTAAATAAAAAAAGAACTTATTTGTTTTGATAATGAATTTAAGATTAAGTGATGTAAAATGTCTTCTTATGAAAAAATATATACATCAAATTTTAACTTGTTTTTTAAATTAATGAAATTTATTATTTTAATTTGTTTGTTTTCTTAACTTACAAATAATATTTCATTAATAAATATTTTCTAAATAAAATCTTATTGCCAGCAGTACGATACATTTTTTCAAGATATCTCTTTACTAATTTAATTCCATTTGTTAATCAATTTGTTGACAAATTCAAATTAATAATATTTATTAAAAATATAAGTTTCCTTAATTTCCAGACCAAAATTATCACTTTTTCCCTGACCCTAAAATTCGAAAATATCAATAACTTCTTTTTTAAATAAATATTTAGACATTATTATTTTTCCCTAGGAATGAAGATTTTCAAAAATTTCAAATTCAAACCTTTTGAAAGTAACAACTTATAATAATTTAAATTTCCATAAAATTTTTCAAAAAAATTCAACTATTTACAAAAATTCTAATAAAATCATTTCAGAAAAATTCAATTATTAAAAAAATGTAATAAAATTCGTTCTAAGAATTCAATTATTTTCATTTTTTAACAAAATTTTTCACAGGATTTCAATTATTTTTAATACAATTTTGAATAAATTCCTCGAAAAATGTAATTATTTTCAAGTATTGGAATTTTTTTTGCAAGAATTCAATTATATTTCACAAATAATTAAGTTCTTTGCTGAAATTCAAATATTTTCAAAATCTACTATTTTAATAAAATTTCTCAAAAGAATTCAATTATTTAAAAAAAATTTAATAAAATTCGTTGCAAGAATTCAATTATTTTCAAAAATTATAAATAGATTATTCGGAAGTTCTTTAAGTAAATATATTATAAAGAAAATAAAAACTTCCAATAATTAAAAAAAACTGAAATAAATTTATTTAAAAAAAATTAATTCCACAGAATTGTTAGTTAACAGTATTAAAAATTTTAGAATTTTACAGATTTTAATTTGAAACCTTTTCAAAATTCAATTATTTCTAAAAATTCATGCTTTAATGCTTTAAATATTATTAATTACTACCTAAAATTTTAACTAAAATTCATTTTTAAATTAATTTTTATTAAAATTTTTTACTAGAATACAATTACTTAAATACAAAAATAAATAAAATTCTTATAAAGAATTTTATCAACAAATTTTTAAAGAATTGAATTTTTTTTGACGAAAAAAATTCTCGTAAAAATCCCAATTATCTTTATAAATAACAAAATTCTTCCCAAAGTTCAATTATTTTCAGAAATTTTTCTAATTTTAATGATTTTCAATATCTACGATTTTAATAAAATATTTCCCAAAACGAATTCAATTATAATTAAAAAAAATTTTAATTTGAAATTTTAGAAAATGACAATTTTGAATGAATGAATTAAATAATAAAAATTTCAGAGGAATTCTATTATTTACAAATTTTTTATAAATTTCTTCGCAATTATTTTCATAAATAATAAAATTCTATAGGTATGTAGGTTTTCAATTATTTTCATAAATAATAAAAATCATCGCAGAATTTCAATTATTTTTGGTGCAATGTTAATGGAATTTCTCGAAAAATGTAATTATTCTTAAAATTTTTATTAAAATTAATTTTCAAAGATTTTAATGAAATAATTTTTAACAATTTGATTTTTTTTCAAAATAATTTGAATTAAATTCTTCGTAGAATTAAATTAATTTCAAAATTCAATTATTTTTAATATCTACTATTTCAATAAAAATTCACAAAAGAATTCTATTATTTAAAAAGAAATATATTATTAAAATTCATCGCAAGAATTAAAGTATTTTTCATAAATAATAAAATTCTTCCTAAATTCAATTATTTTCATAAACAATAAAATTCTTCGAAGAAATTCAATTAGTATCAAATTTTTTGATAAAATTCTATGCAAGAATTCAATGATTTGCCATTTTTTTTCGCAATAATTCACTTGTTTTCATAAACAATAAAATTCTTCGAAGAAATTCAATTATTATCAAATTTTTTGATAAAATTCTTTGCCAGAATTCAATCATTTGCAAATGTTTTATAAATTTTTTCGCAATAATTCAATTATTGAACAAAAAAATTAATAAAAGTTCTTCATAAGAATTCAATTATTTTTGAAAATTTTAATAAAATTCGTTGCAAAATTCAATTATTTTAAAAAAGTTTGATAAAACTCTTCGAATCACTTCAATTATTTTAAAAAATTTTGAAAAAATTCTTTTCCGAAATTCAATTATTTTCAAAAATTTTCCTCAATTCAATGATTTTTATAATACCTATCTACTAAAATTTTTCAAAAGAATTCAATTATAAAAAATTTTATTGAAATTCTGCGCAAACATTTAATTATATTCATAAAATAATTAAAATTCACAAGGAATTCAATTATTTTCATAAATAATAAAATTTTTTAAGGAATTCAATTATTATTTTCATAAAAAATAATTTAAAATTTTAGAAAATAATAATTTAATTAAAATGATGAAAATATTTTTGATGAAATTACAGTAACAATATTTTTATGATAGAAAATAATGATTTTATCTCTCGGTCATCTTTAATTTATTAGAAAACATGAAGAAATCGATCACTCCGAGTCTTCGACTCGGAGCAATTGATATCTTCAAGTTTTATAAAGTTGTTTAATTTAAAAAAGGTTTGAATTTGAAATTTTTGAAAGTCTTAATTCCTGTGGAAAATCCTGTTCCAAAGATAAGATTAAAATATAAATTGTGCAAATATTTTTCTTCTTTTTCTAAAACAAAATAATAATTTTCTTAAAAAAATTGTGATTGAAAAAGAAAATAATGGAAAATAAATAAATTTTCTATTTCTTAATCACGGTTGTTTAACAATTTTCTAATTTTGCTTAGAAGTAAAGAACAAAAATAATTTCAATTTGACAAAACAAAATATTTAACAAAATTTTAGTCTTTTAATGAAAAGAAGTAAAAAAAATTCTGATGATTTCTATTTTCTATCTAAAGTTAACAAAAAACAAAAGTATAAACAAAAGACAACTTCAGAGTGTGAGGGACAGAAAAAGTGAATGAAAGAATAAAAGAACATTCAAATTAATATAGTTAATTAATAGATTATTCGTAGTAATTTCATAGTTTTTGAGGCAAACAATAAAGACACTATTTAAAAGGAATTTCAATTTAAAAAAAACTTTGCAAATTGAAAAATGTTTGTAATATGCAATATTTAAAATTTAACCCAGTCTTTTAGAGGGAATGTTTTGGGATATTTTTTAAAATATATTTTTTGATTTACCATCGGCAGCTCGCAAGTAGTAACCACTGTTATCCTTATTAGCATCCCAGGAAATTTCAAGTTGATTCATCATTCTATCAAGAAGTCCGTGGATAATTTCAAATCCTGCCGATTTATTGCCATAGAGAGCACAAAGATGTCTTTCATTACGAGCACCAACTTCAGTTTCATTGTCGCGGACCACAACATCAGAAACTTCAAATAATTTATGAGGTAATGGCATCTTCTTATTTGCAGCTGCAGTTTTCAAGATTCCTGGCAAAAGTGTTGTCCTTGCCACCTGTTAAATTTAAATATGGTTTATAGTAAACTGTAATAATATCAAGAGTTTTTCATTAATAATAATAATAATAATATTGCAATTTTACTTGAAATTCAAGAGTCTTTGGATTTGATATATGAACTGCAGGAATGGTTTTCATATCGTGACCCAATTTTTCCGAAATGTCATCTCGCGAACACTGAAAGCATACAAATAATTATATACATAATAATCCTTTTGTCTATTTTCTCCACAACTAAAGTAAAACATTTGTACTTATGTTTTTTTATTTTTTTATTTTGAAAAGAATTTTTACTAATCTAAAAAATGTATTGTTTTTATTTATTTTATTTATACATATTATTTGTGTTGACACGCAAAGTTTTGAAATGAGATACAATTTATAAACATTCGTGAAATAAAAATATGTACAGTAAATTTTATTCTTTTATTTTCAAATAAAACTTGGAGAGCAAATTTTCTAAAAAAAAATCAATGTTGGCGATGGGTCGGTAAATTTTTCTGAAACTTGATATTATTGCGAGTATTTTAAAACAAGAAAAAGTCAGTAGGTATATTGCATCAGGACAAAAGTTATTAATATTTTTGTGATTGTGCTGAAACTTTAAAGTTTCAATTTTTAATAAACTATTTTTTTAATTAAAGCCTATTAAATTGCGCATCGATTCCTTGAGGACGATTTTTAATAAATAATATCTGAAATTTTTTATTTGTTAATAAAAATTATAAAAAATATTCTTTTTATACAAAAGGGATAATTTTTGTAAAATTTACAATATTTATTGATAAAAGGAACGTAATTAGTTTAGAAACTTACCCCAAATATTTTCCAGCATTAGAAAATTAATTAAAAAAAGTTTCTTATCTGAATATTTTGTAAATTCTTCCACAATTATTTAATAAATTAATTTTTTCGATTTTTGGAAGACGTATAGAAGGTAAAAGAAAAAAACCCTATTACTTTTTTATAAAATAGACGTCGTTTCGGTGATCTTATTTTAGTTTCTAATTTGTTGTAAACAATATAACACAGAACAAATTTTTGATTCAAATCTTTTATTTTTTGTTTCCGAGTAATGTTTATTTTTTAGAAATAATATATTCAGGGCTCAAAGCAGTAAAAGTATTTAAAAATACGAACTTTACGGACCAAAAATTAAAAATTACGGACCAACTGACAAAAATAGAATCAGGCCTAATCAAATAAGAGAACATTTTACTTAAAACTAGAAATTCAATTTTTCATAACTATAAAACATGAAGAAATCGATAACTCCGAGTCTTCGACTCGAAGTCATCGATTTCTTCATGTTTTATAATAATTAATAATAATTATTAATAAAAATAATTTATAATAATTAAAATCATTATCAATTCAATTATTATTTTTAAGAATTTTTATCTAAAATTCTTCTTTATATCGATTATTTTTAATAATTTTCGAAAAAGTTCTTTGACAATTTTCAAATTCATTTCTTTACCTACAATATTCAATTTTACGAAATTTTAATTATTCGTAAATTCTTTAATTAAATAAATATTAGAAAATAGAAACTAAAAATAATATTAAAAAACTCAATTAAACTTTTACAAGAAAATTAATTACAAAATTCAATTATTTTTTTTATTATCTAAAATTTTAAATAAAATTGATTTTTATGAAATGAAAATGAATTTTTATTAGAAAATTTTACTAGAATTCAATTATTTAAATACAAATAAAATGCAAATAAATAATTTATTGAATAATTGAACGTTTCTTAAAATTCAATTCCCATAAAGAATATTGTTATCAACAAATTTTCAAATAATTGAATTCTATCAACGAATTTTAATAAAATTTTTAAGAATAATTACATTTTTCGAGAAATTTGATTAAAAATTCAATTATTTTTAAAAATTTTAATAAAATTCTTGGCATAAATTAAAAATAATAAAATTCTTAGCAGATCTTCAATTACTTTCAGAAATTTTAATAAAATTTTTCGTAAGAATTTAAATATTTTCGTAAAATAATAAAAATCTTTGCAGAGATTCAATTATTTTCAAAAGTCTCAATAAAATTCTTCTCAAGAATACAATTATTTTCAAAAATATCAGAATTTAAGCAGAAATTCAAACATTTTAAAAAGTTTTGATAAAACTTTTTTTGGTAGAAATTCGATTATTTTTAAGACAATTTTGAAAAAATGTCTCGATAAAATTCAATTATTTTTAAAATTTTAATGAAATTTTTCGAAAGAATTCAATTATTATAATCTAAGATATTTTAACTCATATCTATTTTTAAATCAATGTTTATGAGAAAATTCTACGGGAATAGCAATTATTTAAATACAAAAATAAATAATTTATTGAATAATTGAATTTTTCTTGGAATTCAATTCCAATTAAAAATTTTTTCAACAAATTTTTAAATAATTAAATTCTTTGGACGAATTTTAATAAAATTTTTAAAAATTTTTTCAAGGAATTCGATTAAAATTCTATTGGAAATAATTGAATTCCTAATAAGAATTGTATTATTTACGAAAATAATTGAATCCCCGTAAAAATTTTATTATTTATGAAAATAGTTGAATGATTGCGAAGAAATTTATAAAAAAATTTGTTATTAATGAAATTCTTGTGAAATTTTTATTATTCTTTGAAAATAATTAAAAGATTTTGTAAAATTTTATTAAATTTTTTTTTTAAATAATTAAATTTTTTTGGTAAATTTTAAGAAATTAGTAGATATTGAACAATATTTAATTTTTGCGAAGAATATTATTACTTTTGAAAATAATTGAAATTTTGCAATAGATTTTATTTAAATTTTTGAAAAATAATTGAATTTTATTACTTTAGAAAATAATTGAATTCGTGTGATAAATATTATTAATTATGAAAATAATTGAAATTTTGTAATGAATTTTAATAAAATTTTTGAAAATAATTGAATTTCCGAGAAGAATTTTAATATTTATTTATAAAGATAATTGAAATGTTGACAATGTTTTTTAGATTTTTTCAAAATAATTGAATTTCAAGCCCTGTACGTTTAATAAGAATAGAGTAGAAGGGGGTAATGTAGTGCACTTTTCTTTCGAAGACTCCTGTGGTCACAATTTTCAACCAATTTTGATCAATAAGGACTCGTTGGAAAGACAATGCTTCTAGCTACATTTATGGTGAACATTATTTTTTTGTAGATGTAGATGGAGTTTTTCTATATCCAAAAAACTGAAGGCACTTTTTTTCGACATTCTAAAATTTGTGGGGCAATGTAGTGCACCACTTTGTTAGTGAAATAAAAAGCAGAGAATATATCATAAACGATTTTATTTTATTAGATATAATATTAGGAACATAAGAAACTTAAAAAACTATAAACTAGTAGTGATGCCCACAAGATGAGACTTTGCATGTAAAAACCGAGACGAGATCTAGACTTTGCATGGTATCATCTCATCTCGTGGACAGCACTAAAAACTAGAGATTTCTTTGGTCCTGTGTTAGATAAAACTGAAAGAAAACTGCAATAATTTGCAAAAAGCAAACATGGTTAAATAATACATATTTACGGTACTCTGTACAATTGCACTACATTGCCCCCAACCCCGTGCACTACAATGCCCTAAGCACTTTTTTCACGTTGACTTCAATATCTCAATAAAAACAAAATTAAACGTCAAAACAATACTAAATTTGTGTTCAGAAGTAAATTTTACATGGAAAAAGCACTTTCCTGATACTTTTTTAACGAGCCTTACATTTTCTTCAAGTCACTAAAAAAACGGAAATATATGGTTTCGAAATCTAGTGTTTTTGAAGTGACTCCACAACTTCTTTTAGAAGAAGCACAATAAAGCCAAAATGATATATGTACATTAATATACTTTGATACCTTAACCCTATTATACCAACGGCAAGTAATTCAATTCATTCGTTTAGTCAGTAAACCCAGTGCACTACATTACCCCCCTCTACTCTACTTATTAAAATACTAAAAATTAATCAATTTCATATTTTTTAATAACTTTTGTAATAACAAAACACACAATTATTAATAAAAAATTAATTGTTATAAACAATTAATAATGTTTTTAAGTTGTTTCACGAAACAATAAGTTTAAGTCGATTTTTCTAGACGTATTTTGTAAAAAGGATGAACACTTAATGTGACACATTAACAAAGTTATCAATTTGTTGATTTAGATTATTTAAACAATAAGATTATGGGTTTTTAATTATTTTACTTTAAAATAGATCAAAAGCTAACCAATTATAATGCTATTTAATTGACCATAAAAAATACGAAATTAGGCGGAGAAGTTTATTTTATTTCTATTCGTTTATAACAATTGTTGCTATTTTAAACAAATTATGATCAAAATCTAACAAATAAGTTTTGTTTGAAAGCATGATTATTGTATATTACTCATACCAAATTTTATCAAAATCCATCAAATAAAACGTCAAGAAATTTTTTTTAAAAGTAATTTGATGCTTAAAAATTAAAACGTATTTTCTAAAAAATTTTTCTCTATAATAAAAAAATCCATTAGAAATGTTAATGGATATTATTATTAAATATCAATCGACATTAAAAGGAGAAAATTTACATTCGCTATTTTAGCTAGTAGACAATAATAAAAAAAGCTTTTGTAAAAGCGATGTAAATTTAAAAATTCTTACCAGAGAGAAGGTTAAAGCTTCAGTAAATCCAGCACAAGCCAATTCCTGACGGACCTGATCCGTTAATTTATTCAAAGGTAACTGGAAATGATAATTTACTTTTTAATGAATAATTGCTTATAACAAAATGAAAATTCATGGTTATAAAAGTGAAACATGAAATACCTCTGCTGCAATAGTCATAGTTTGTGGTAAAGTCTTTCTTATCTTATTATAGCCATAAGCAATTGCAACATCTTCGTAAATGTCGCAGGGATGAATAACATCATGCCGTGTAGGTGGAATCTCGACTAACAATTCATTTCCCTTTTCGACTTCCGTCTTTAAGTGCATTCTTGATAATAATTTTGCGACTTCATCCGGAGTTTGTCTAGTTTTTAAACAGAAAAAGAAATCGCCGTTCTAGCAACTTTCAAAATAGATTTCAAAAAATAATGCTGAACAGTAAGAAATTCAAGAAAATTAACCTATCCTAACTTGTTCGTTTTGAGAAACTAGTAAATGCATTAAATTACTTAAACACCCAAAAATGTTATTTTAGCAAGGCTCGGATCGACTTTAAGACTCAAAAAAAGACGCTTTAGTCGCATAAATTCACAACAAAAGTCACAAAAAGTCGCATAAAATTTGCAAAAAAGTCGAAAAAAAGTCGCATGAAATCTTAGAAAAAACGACAAAAAGGAAACACGAAATTGTCAAAATTGTAAAAAAATCACATTTCTCGACAACACATACTTTAATATCAAACAATCCGGAATAAAATTTAATAAAACTCAAAGAAAAATTTTAATGGGGTATTTTTAACATTTTTTTAAAAATTCTCTTTAAAATGTAAAATATTTTTATAAATAATAAAATTCTTCTCCTAAATTCAATTATTTAAACAAAAATTTAATAAAATTCTTGTCAAAATTTCAATTATTTTTATGAATAATAAAATTCTTCTCTAAAATTCAATTATTTTCATAAGTAATAAAATTCTTCGCAGAAATTCAATTGAGGCCTTGGATCCAATAATTCGCCCGACGCTCGGAGGAACGCGTAACTGCCAGTCAGTGAGCAGTGAGCGCCTCTGGGCCACTCACTGTTACCCGACTGGTATTAGCGCGTGCCTTCGAGCGTCGGGCGAATTATTGGATCCAAGGCCTCAATTATATTCAAATTTTTTTTTCAAATTCAAATTTTCTCGATAAAATTCTTTACAAAATTCAATTATCTTCAAAAGTAAGAAAATTCTTCTGCAAAATTCAATTACTTTTAAATAATTTTAAAAAAATCTGTTCAAGATTTCAATTATCTTCATAAATAATAAAATTCTTCTCTGAAATTTAATTATTTGTAAAAATAATAATAAAATTCTTGTCAAAATTTTAATTATCTTTATAAATAAAAAGATTCATCCTAGAAATTCTATTATTTTCAAATTTTTTTTTAAATTCCTCATCAAAATTTTATTTATCTTATTCATAAATAATAAAATTCATTCTGGAAATTTAATTATTTTCAAAAGTTCTGATAAAATTCTTTGCAAAATTCAATTATCTTCAAAAGTAAGAAATTTCTTCTCAGAAATTCAATTATTTTCGAAATTTTCTTAAAATTCTCCTCAAAACTTCAATTATCTTTGTAAATATCAAAATTATTCTGCAAAATTCAATTACTTACTAATGTTTTATAAATTTCTTCTCAATAATTGAACCCCTGGATGCAAGAACCGGACATAGACTATTGAAATTAAATGGGCTGCGTCTGGTTCTTGCATCAAGGGGTTCAATTCAATTATTTTCATAAGAAATAATTACAAAATTTTTTTTTTATAAAGTCTTATAATAATATAAAATAATGATTATTCGAGCCCTGTTTTAGAGCTAAAAACCGTTTTTTTAAGTTACTGCCTAAAATAGTTTGCAACTAACAATAAGTCATTTTTGGTCCACTCTAGAAACCGAAAAAATAGGCATTTTTTGTGATTTTTTTGCAGAGAATTTATAAAGTCAATTAAAATTGGAATATGAGGAGTTTATTGTACATCTTTTGAAGTTTAAAAATATAAATTTTTATAATAATTTAATGAAAAATGGCGACGCTGTTGGGGTTTTCCGTCGACATCTCTGTGGCGCATATGGTCCGTGGCCGCACCAACTGTTCCCGTAAATTTTGAAATATCTTGGGTATATAATTTTTTATTTATTGTACATTACAATAGCTAAAGCAACACGTAGGATTTTTTTCGATATATTGATCCATGGTCAAATGGCGCACTTCTGAAGTTAACCTTTCTAAATTCTACCAAAAAATCGTCAGTAAATTGTTAATAACAAATGAACAATACAAAATAAAAAAAAATCCTACGTGATGCCTTAAAAAATATATTTTCAAAGATGTTTGTGAAGTTTGAACTTAATCGGTTGAAAATTGTACGAGTTGTTAGTGCGGCCAACTCGAAAAATGTAGTTTTCAGATAATCGCGTTTAAAGTTTAAAGTTAATATGCTCTTCACATGCTTGACTATGCCTAACTGACTGAAACAGACGCTTGCATACTGTTTGTGAAGCCAAATTGTGTAGAGTAGACTATAGTTTAGACAGAAAAGTAGCCTTATACCTGCTCTAGATCCTTCAAAGATCACCTCCCGTAGCGCGCTAACAAAAGGACCTCGCCGCTACGAAAATACGAAACTACGAAAATAAATTACTTAGTGATTTTCCCTAGCCGTAATACTACGATATGTTATTTCTGATACCCTAAGGGACTATTTAATGCAAAAAAATAAAAATCGATTTTTTTAAAAGCCTAGAGTGGCATAACCCCTTAATAAACATTTAAGTTTTGGCTCTAAACTTCTGAAAGCATTTCATAAAATTTTCTTTCATTACTGCCAATTAGAGTGAGCTATTAGTTTTACAAAAAAGGAAAATGAAGTAATTAAATTTACATACTCTACACCAATGTATCGTGCTGCTTTATCACTTTTTACTTTTTCAGTTCGGTACTTTAGGTCAGGATAGTAAAATGTTTGTCCATCGGGGTAAACCACCTCAACTGATTCTGCAACATACTTTTCGGAACAGTAATGGCTGAAAGCAGTTACTACTGTGTCAACTGCTATTCGCGCCTGAAAATAAAAAATTTTCATTATTTACATATATAATAGCATAATACGAGTTTCACAAAAAGTTTCACTTTATTAATGTCCATGTCCAAGTTGTGAAATGTAAACAAACGAAAAATTAAACAAACCAAACACTAAAATTTTTCGCTTGTTGGGAGAGTTGGGTTGCAGTGGAAAAATGGGACAAGGAGTGTTGAAAAATTTCTTTGAAAACCGAATCAAGGAGGATAGAATAGTTATTTTCGTATCAAGGGCGCAAAATAGGTGATTGCGACGATGGCGAAATGAAGGGACCGAGGGGACACAATTTCGCGCCCGAGGCGAAGCCGAGAGAGGGAAAGTGTCCCCGAGGTCCCGAAATTTCGCCAGGGTCCTTTGCGCCCATGATGCTAACATAATTTGTTGTCCTAACTGCATGGAAAGTATGTCATTGAGGGCACGAACGATTAAACGCTTATATTAATTAAAAATTAAACCCTATATAAATGTTAACTCTTTGAAGTCTATAATGATAGAAGTTTTAATATAGAAATAAGAAAACAATGTATTTAAAATTGACAATTTTTACAACCGAAATGGGAACAAAACCAAATTTGTCATAATTTTTTTAGAGAAAATAAAAAAAAATTGCACATTTTTATAGACAAAATAAAACAAGTTAAAAATGTTTGCATTTTTATAGTTAACATAAAAAGAAATATTTTGCGCCCGCTTCCCCTGCCCCTGGGTGGGAATGAGATACTTTGCGCCCGCTCCAAGTGCCCGAAATGACATACTTTCCGTGCAGGTAGGACAAAAAAATATTTTTTTCACAGATGCACCTCATCTTATAAAAATGATAAGAAATCGATTGTTAAATGGCAAAAAATTAAAGGTATGATGTTTTATTAAACACAAAAAGATTTTTAGTATTTATATTTTTAGAATGATTGAGTAAAAAAGAGATTATACAGGGTTTCCACAAGTCAGGGAAGTCAGGGAAATTAGAATTGGTTAGGGAAATCAGGCAAAAGTCAGGGATTTTTATTAAAAGTACTGGAAAAAATTTAAGTTTTACATTTTATAAGAAAATTCTAAATTTTGGTTTGCCTCACAAAAATTATCAAGAATTTTAATACAAAACTTTCAATTTTTTCTGTTTCTGACAATAATTTCTTTTTTAATAACTTAATTATTCAAAAACTATCATAAATTATTACTTAGAAATTATTTAATGAATAATTTTACTTCAAAATTTTCAAAATTAATTAGATTTCAAAAGAGTTGCGTTTAAAATCTGCAAAAATAGATCAACTTCAAAGGCTTCAATATGAAATTTTTTAAAATTTCAATTTTTAATGAATTTAAATAGAAATTTTAAGAACAACTGATTACAGAAATTCAATTATTTTCAAAAATTTATAAATATTCTCGTTAAAATTTCAATTATTTTTATCAATAATAAAATTCTTCTCCGAAATTCAATTATTTTCAAAAAATTTAATAAAATTCTTGGCAAAATTTCAATTATTTTAAAAAATTTTCCTCATTTCAATAATTTTTAATATCTATTTTAATAAAATTTTCCAAAAGAATTCAATTATTTAAACGAAAATTTGATAAAAATTTCACAGGAATTTAATTATTTTCCAATTTTTTATAAATTTCTTCGCACCAATTCATTTATTTATAAATTTTTAACGCATCATAGCGTGAATTTTTCTAAATAAGTGAATTTTGAAAAGGGTTCAAAAATTAAAATCTTTGAAAATTTAAATTTATAGTTGCAATATTCTTATAATATAAAATGATGATTTTATCACTCTGTCATTTTAAATTTATTATAAAACGTGAAGAAACCGATTGCTCCGAGTCAAATACTCGGAGTGATCGATTTCTTCATGTTTTATACTAATTTTTTATAAGTTGTTTAATTTCAGAAGGTATTCATTTGAAATCGTTAATTCCTATAGAAAAATAATAATGATTTATTTAAAAATGTATTTATTTAAAAAAGAAGTTATTGATGTTGTCGAATAATTTTACACTTAAAGAAATTCGTAAATATAAATGTAATAGAACATTTCTTTCAGAATCTAATAATTTTTTGAGAGAATCACCTCTATATATTCTTCAGGAATCAGGGAGAAAGTCAAAATTTCTCTCCGTTCCTTCATTTTAACAAACAAATTCGTTTTTGGAAGCAGATTTTTTAAACATGAATAAAACTACAAAGCAGCTCTTTCTCAATTTGCACCTGAGGAGATATAAGTGATTAAAATCACCAAAAATCCTTATAGACTCAATATTAAAGGTAGAATTTTTGACGTTTCTAACTTATAAAACTGAAAAGTCAGCACATAATATGAAAGTACATTGAAAGTATTTAATTATAAGTTTAGTTTAATTTAGTAATATCTGTTTGTCAGATTTCTCACAATTTGACATTGAAGACCAAGAAAATGCAATTTTCCATAAAACACAGTGTTAAAAAAGTGAAAATTATTTATATCTTTTGTCACAATCAACCTAGACCCCTAAAATTTAACTACATTTTCTTTACTCTATTTTAAATTATTAAGTATTAAGTAAATAAAAATTTATTAACTATAATTAATAAAATGAATTTACCTTGGTAAGGTCAGTAGCAGTGCATTCGATGAAAATATTTTTTGTATCAAGAGTGATTTTACTATGGTCCCCATTAATAATTGGCGGCAACGACAGTACTACACCTTTACTGTCGTAAATTACAGGATACACAGGACTGTCCCTAATAATTGGTAAGAATTGCTTCAATTGAGCGTGATTCTAAAAATGAGAATACGATTCAAATTAAACATAGATTCATTGATTAATAAAGTATGTTACAGATGATAAGATGATTAACTTACAGAATAGAGTTCCATGATACCGTTTCCGGTATATTCTTTTTCCGCATTAAGAGGTTTGAAGAAAATCTCTTCCGGTGGTTTCGCATCGTAAACAAATGGTCCTTGAATTGTATCTAAATCGTGAGTACCAATTGAAACAAGACTGCGTTTTCGGCCAATATTTTGATGCAATTTATCTTGCAGATCAATGAAGCTATTATATGAATCCTGGGTTAAAGTTACATTTCTCAAGACTGCAGCGACCAAATGTTGCCTCACTTGTAAACACTGTTAAGTATTTCACAATTTATTTTTAATTTCAGAATTTCATTTTTTTCTAGTTTATAAATTAATGTTATTAAAGATGCTGTTAAGTTGAATTTTATTGAAAAGTTTATATTCTTATATTAAAATCCAAGTCTTTTAATAAAAAAACAAGGTTGACACAAAAAGTTTATTTTCTTTTCCCTAGGAATGGAGATTTTCAAAAATTTCAAATTCAAACCTTAAAGTACCAACTTATAATAATTTACATTTCCAAAAAAAAAATGAAATTGTTTACAAAAATTCTAATAAAATCCTTTCACAAGAATTTAATTATTTTTACAAGTAATAAAATTTTTCACATAAATTCAATTATTTAAAAAAATGTAATAAAATTCGTACTAAGAATTCAATTATATTTCACAAATAATTAAGTTCTTTGCTGAAATTCAAATTTTTCTAAAATCTACTATTTTAATAAAATTTCTCAAAAGAATTCAATTATTTTAAAAGAAATGTAGTAAAATTCGTTTCAACAATTCAATTATTTTTATAAATTATAAAATTTATTCTTTAATTAAATATATTATAAAAAAATGAAAACTTCCAATAATTGAAAAAAATTGAAATAAACTTATTTAAAAAAAATTAATTCCACAGAATTGTTATTTAAAAGTATGAAATTAATTTAAAATTTTTCAGATTTTAATTTGAAACCTTTTAAAAATTCAATTATTTCTAAAAATTCATGCTACAATGCTTTTTATATTATTAACTATTACCTAAAATTTTAACTAAAATTCATTTTTGAATCAATTTTTATTAAAAAAATTTTACTAGAATTCAATTACTTAAATACAAAAATAAATAAATTATTGAATAATTGAATGTTTCTTAAAATTTAATGTGTATTTTATTCTTTAAAAAATATACTTACAGACTTTTTCATAACGATCTTTTGCATTCCATTTTTCGGCCTAATGCTTTTATAACGGGGTAAGGGTACTCTAAAATGATAAAAAATTCAGTTTGAGTATATCAAAGATAAGTCGAATAAAAATATTTGAAAACATATTTATAAATATATTTATTTATTTAAATAAAAGACGATAAAATAATAGGGTCATTTTACGCAAAGCGGACAACCCAAAACTTCTAATAAAAAAAATGAAATTTTTAAATTCCTGCTTATTTCTATTTAAATGTATTAAATGAAAAAAATGACGTCTCATTTTTACAGTAAATTTCATTGTTTTTAATTTAGTGAATTTTAATTGCAAAATTAGATTCATTTTCATTGATAAATAAAAAACGAATGGCATCTTTTTCAAACAGTTTGGAAAACAGTTATGTTTTAAGTAATACAGAGTAGAAACTACGTATCTTTGAAAAATTACTTTTTTGATGACTTAAATAACTTTAAAATTTGAAAAAAATATATAAAATTTTTTCCTTTTTATTTTCAAAAAACTGATAAAATTCTGAAAAAAATGACATCTTAACGGAAAAAAATGTTAATTTTTCAATCATATATTTAACAAATACCTCATTTTTGGTGATTTGACAAATTTCTTAATATCATTCGAAGAAATTAATGTCTCTTAACGTTCATAGGCTCATTTAAATCGTACTTTTTTAAAGAACTGAAATTTTTTACAACAATTTATTTATTTCCTTAAAAAATGCAAATAAAAAAAAGTTGAATGAAAAAAATATAAAAATTTTCATAAAACTATAAATTAAATTTTTCATAATTATAAAACATGAAGATATCGATAACAAAACATGATCAATTTCTTCATGTTTTATAATAATTAAAGATGGCCCAGTGATAAAATCATTATTTTATATTACAATTATTTTCTAGAATTTTTAACAAAAATTCTTCTTTAAATCAAATCAATTAAACTTTTTCAAAAAAATTAATTTCAAAATTCAATTATTTATAAAAATTCACGCTATATTGCTTTTAATATTTAACTATTATCTAAAATTTTAACTGAAATTAATCAATTTTTATTAAAAAATTGTACCGGAATTCCATTAATTTAAATACAAAAATAAATAATTTATTGAATAATTGAATGTTTTTCGAAACTAAATTATCATAAAGAATTTTATCAACAAATTTTTAATTAATTGAATTCTTTTGACGAATTATAATCAAATTTTTAAGAATAATTACATTTTTCGAGAAATTTGATTAAAATTGTGTTGAAAATAATTGAATTCCTAAAAAGAATTTTATTATTTTTCAACATAATTTAATTTCTGCGAAGAATTTTAATATTTATAAAAAGGATTGAATTTCTGCAACCTAATTTGTAATTTCTCCAAAATTAAATTTTTTTTAGTATTATTAACTAAAATTCTTCTATAAATCAATTATTTTAAATAATTTTTGAAAAAGTTCTTTGAAAATTTTCAAATTTATTTGTTTACAATTCAATTTTATTTCATTTTATTTCAAGTAAAATTGAAATAAACTTTTTCAAAGAAATTAATTCTTCTACAGAATTGTTAGTTAAAAGTATGAAAAATTCAAATTTTCATAGATTTTATATTAAAAAACCTTTTCAAACTTCAATTATTTCTAAATGTTCACGCTATAATCCTTTTAATGTTCAATTATAATCTGAAATTCTAAGTTAAATTAATTTTTATATCAATTTTTATTAGAAAATTCTACTAGAATTCAATTATTTAAATAAAAAAAATTAACTTATTGAATAATTGAATTCTCATAAAGAATTTTAAAAACAAATTCTTAAATAATTGAATTCTTTCGACGAATTTTAATAAAATTACACTTTTTGAAGAATTCCATTAAAATTTTGTATTAAAAATAATTGAAATTCAGCATTGGGTTTCATTATTTACGAAAATAATTGAAAACTTAAAAAGAATTTTATTATTTACGAAAACAATTGAATTTTTCGAATTATTAATTAAAAATAGTATTGAAAATAATTGAAATTATTCGATGAGTTTTATTATTTATGAAAACAATTGAATTCTTGCTTAGAATTTTATCAAATATTTTAATTTTTAAAAAAAATTTAATTTCCATGAAAAATGTTAATATTAGTGAAAGTAATTGAATTATTGTGAAGAATTGTAAAAAAATTTAGTTAAATAATTGATTTTTCGAATTTTTTTAAAATGCTATTCTAAATTGATTTAATTAGTCCGTGGAAATTTTATTATTTATGAAAATAATTGAATTTTTGATGAATTAAAAAAATTTGTTTTTAATAATTCAATTCTTTTGCAAAATTTTATGAAAATACTAGATATTGAAAATAATTGAATATTTTTTTTAAATAATTGAATCGTTTTAAAGAATTTGATTATAATTTTTGATAATAATTTTTTGATTTCATATATTAGCGAATTTAAAGCAGTGTAAATTCTAAAAAAACAGAAATTGTATCTTTTATTGGCTAAAATCTAAAAAAAGTACCCAAAGAAAGTAATTTAATTTTTGACAAAAATAGTTTTTTTAAAACTGTTATTTCAAAAAGAAACATTTTCTTTTTATTTATCTCAATTACTTGTTTTCTATTTGCTTTCACAAAAGAGTTTTCATTTAGGAACCATTGAAATAGTTGCCAAAAATATAAAAAGGGTGAAATAGTATTAGTCGGTTATTCCTGAAAAGATAAAAAAATGAAAAAGGGATTTTGAATATAAAATATGACTGTCATCGTGAAAAAACTTTGTAAATTCTAATAAAAGCAAATAGTGAAATATAAAAACATTTGCAAGTACTTTTCTAAAAAGACGAGGAGTCCTGTCACCAAACCTTCCAAGCACAATAGGTCGTATCGATTGGCAGGAATATCAATTTTATAAATAATTTCCTCCGACGCACCATCACTTTGTTCTGAGCCCTGTTCTTTTGCGATTATTTGCTTTTCTGACGTCTATAAAAAATAAATTATAATTTTTAGAACATATTCAACAAGAAACTTAAATATTGAATATTTTTGAGTAAAAGGCTTATCGTCGTTTTAATTCATTTAATTATTAAAACGACCGATAAGCCTTTAACTCAAAAATATTTAAGGGAAAGACCCCACCTTTATTTTGACCCCTTTAAAATAAAATTATTAAACGAGGTAATATTTTTTTTGCATCATTTTTAACCTGAAAACATAAGATGGTCAAAAATATTTAATTTTAATTTTTGAAGAGGTTAGAATTTTTTTCTTTTGACCTATTGCATATTATTGCAAATCCATACGAGGAGTTGTTTAGAATGGTAAAATATGCATGGAAAAAAATTTTCGTAGAAAAATATTAAAAACTGTAAGAGAAGATCGATTTTTAATATTCAAATCTTTAAATTTTGCCGAAATGTCGGAAATCCCGAACCTTTAATTTTTTCCAATTTGATGCTCTGAATCGAATAAACATTGTTAAAATTGACAATTAGCTCATTTTCATGGTAAAAACTATAAAATTCATGGCTTTTTGCATTTATTTCGGTATATATATAAAGTATATCATAAAAGCTTCGGACTATGATTTTTATGGTTTTTACCAAAAAAATGAGCTAAATGTCAATTTTAACAATGTTTTTTGAATAATAGCATCAAATTACGTAAATATACACAATTTGGAAAAAAATGAAAGATTTAAGGCTTTCGAAATTTCGGCAAAATTTAAAGATTTGAATATTAAAAATCGATCTTCTCTTACAATTCTAATATTTTTTAACGAAATTTTTTTTCCATGCATATTTTACCATTCTAAACAACTTCTCGCATGGATTTGCAATAATATGCAATAGGTGAAAAGAAAAAAATTCTAATTTCTTCAAAAATTTAAATTAAATATTTTTGACCATCTTATATGTTTTCAGGTTAAAAATGATGCAAAAAAAAATATTACCTCGTTTAATAATTTTATTTTAAAGGGGTCAAAATAAAGGTGGGGTCTCCCCTTAATAAACGGTACTTAATTATAAGAACATCTAAATAATAATTAATGTTACTACACAGTAAAAAAAATAAATTATTACAAAACAAAAGAGATGGACCTAAAATTTCAATATAAAACCTCATGAAATTTAATCATTTCTAAAAATTATAACTGTTAATAACCCTTCAAAAATTCAATTATTTTCTACAATTTTTAACTAAACATTATCTGTAAAATAATTATTTTGTATAATTTTCCGAAAGTTCTTCGAGAATTCAATTATTTAAATATAAAAATTCAATTTTTTATAATAATTCTAACTGTAACTATCAATGCTTTTTTTAAAAGTTATTAAGTTATAATATTTTTAAAAAATTATAATAAAGAAATTCTTAAAATTTTAAACAATTTTTGAAAGACAATAGTTTTTCAATTATATATACTATTGAAAAATTTCTAAACAATTGAAATTTGGTGGAATTTTTTTAAAATGATTAAATTTGTGACAAATTTAAAAAAAATTAAATTTTTAAAGCAATTCAATTATAAATATAAACATGATTTCTCCAAAATTTTAATAAGTGTGAAAAAGTAAATTTACAAAAATTTTAATTCACATTGCTCAAAGATAATGGAATATTAAAAACTTATGATAAAACAATTCTAAGAATTAGTTTTTTTTTAAATATTACGCTGTAATTTTTGGAATAATTGAATTCCTTAAAATAATTTTTGTATAGTTTAAAAAAATAATTAATTTTTTGAAGAATTTTAATTATAGATTTCAAACATGATTGTTAATGTTAATCTTAAAAATAATTCTAAAAAATTGTAATGCTATTATTTTTTGTATGTATTTGAATTTTCGGAACTATGCAGGTAATTGAAAATATTGGAAATAATTAAATTATAAAAAATTTAAATGAAAAAATTCAAAGAATTACATTTCTCAAAAATATTTTAATATCATTTTTAGAAGCTAATTTTCATTTTTAAATTTACACTTGAAAGATTTTTCAATAAAATTTTTGAGACTTTAATTATTTTCCAAATTTGCAAATTAAAATTCTTCAGAAGTTCATTTTTAATAAAATTTTAATAAAAAACTTTAAACAAATCAATTATTTTCAATTAAATTTTACAAACTTTTAATTATTCAAAAAATTTTTAATTATCGGTGCTATACTTTAATAATTTATCTTAAAAAAATATTCAAAAATAATTTTTGAAAGATTTGGCTATAGTTATTTTTCATATCATAAAAATCGAAATAATTTGTATTTAATACTAAAAATGTAGTATTTTGTTGCAATTTCTGTAAGAAAAGTTGAAAAAGTGTCAATCTTTGAAAAATGAATGGAAAAAAGTCGCATTTTTTGAAAATATTTGAAAGTCATAATATCCGAGGCTTGTTCTCTGATACTTACAAAAAAATTCAAGGGTACAAAAAATAATTTTTAGATGCTGTATTTTGGAAATATCAATTATTTAAAAATTTTCAATTAGGTACTTCAGTTTAACAAAAAGGCAATAATTCCAAAAACATAGAACTGCCATATTTTAAAACCCTGACTTTTTAGAACTTTGAATATTTTTGAAACTTGAATTGAAAAGACGAATTCTACACTTAATTTTTTTTTAAATTAAGTAATTAATAAAAAATTTTAAATGTAATTGTTTCAAAATTAATTTATTTTGGACGCAATTTCAACCCTTCAATGCTGCTTTTTTATTAAATTAAAATTCATTAAAAATTTTTTTCTCTTGTAATTTTAGAATTTTTATATTTTTCCTGTACTTTTGACAAAATTATCTGATTTTCCTGAAACTTCAATTTATCAGACGATAAAATAATGATAGAAATTAATAATTATTTTTATTTGAGGCTTTTGCCTTAGAACTTCTTGATACTTTATTTCTTACCACTTCATCTAATTCCAAACCGAATTGAAAACACAGGTTTTGAAATTCATCGTCAGCTGTAATATAAAACAAAAAATATATTACTTTATTAATTTTTATTGCTTTATATTTACATTATTGGTACTTCATAACATTATGAATTTGGACATTTACAGTTTAAAACTATTGAAATAATTGATAATTAAAATTAAAAAATTACAGTAATTGATTAATAATTTAAATCTTTACTAAATAACAAATCTGGAAAAATTTATTTTATAAAAACTATTAAACAAATCTGTAAGTGTTAATGAAATGTAAAAAGCCGGTTCTATTACACGTAAACTTATATTTTACGGAGATGTTTTTTTCCTACTTTCAACAATCTGCTAAAAAAAACAATACACGTGTTTAGAGAAAATTTATAAACAATTGAACAACTTACAGTACGATTTTCCTAGTTCTTGAAATAAAAGATCTCGTTTAACTCCGATTGTAGGCATGTTCACTTATTTATTTACAATAAGGAAAGTAAACAGACTTTTTTTTTCTTTTGAAAATATAAATGTGAAAAACAGAATAAATAAACTTTGACAAATTATCAAAATTGAAAACTAATTTTTGGTTATATTACGCAGAGATGGGTTCCTAATTTACTATAAATGTAGTCTTAAGGTACGGTCACAGCTTTGCTGCCTGCGCAGTGTTACGAGCCGCGTTACCTTTATTAACGTAACTCTTTATGATTAAACGAACTTACAAGTGAAGTTCGATTATAATTAAAGGCTAAGCAAAGCACATCTACTTCGCGAATGTCGTTTGCGAACGCAATACATGGGTTAGAAAAAGACAGAGATATATTTGTATTTTTTTCCAACTCACGCTTTACATTCGCGAACGACTAGTGTTCTTAAATTCTCGAGAATTTAAGTTGGGGTAATTTCCCTGAGGAAATTACGGTAATTTAATTTTTTAAAGAGAATATAAGAGAATTTAAGAGAATATTGAGAATTTAAGTTTATTTATTTAAATAATGTATATTTATTATTTTTATTAATATAAATACATATAATTCAGCACAATTGCGATGATTACTTTTATCTAAAAAAATTCTTTAAGTTATATATGTAAATAAAAAAAAGTAAAACCACAAATTTTTTAAGTTATAAATTTAATGTCATTTGCATTTATAAGGTTTATAAAATATGCGTAACTTAATACGAATAAAAGTTTAGATACTTTTGAATATAGATAAATAAAGAATAAGGATTATATTTAACATTATATACAATGAATTAAAAAATTTTTTAAATAAATATTTTGAAATTATTTGTGAATAAAGGCTTTCTGTCAGCTCTGCTGCGAGAGTAAGAGAGAAAAACCATTTAATTTGAATTTTCTGACTCTCTTGCTCTTATGTGTTACCATGACAACCTGCAGTCAGTAGAGCTGTGCAAGTACCTTTAATATATAGCATTTGTGGCATATTCTTGTTTACAAAATTTACAGAAGAATTTAATTGTTTTTGTATTCATTGCTTTTAAAATATTTCCATTTTACACTCTTTGGTTTTGTCATTTTTTAAATCTTTAAAAATATAGCCACTTTAATTAACAAAATAACAACTACTAAATAAAAACACAACGTCGGACAATCGAATTTACCACAGTGTAACGACAAAAGTGAGGTTATGTCACATTCTCTTAAATTCTCAGAGAATTTAATCGTCGGTTATATTCTCGGTAATATTCTCTGGGTAATATAACCGACTTAGAACACTACGAACGACGTTCGCGAAGCAATTGTGCGTTGGCCTTTATATGAATAACATAACTTATGTAGTACCGCAACTTGTTGTCGGATGACGCCACTGTTCAGAGATTGTCAGGGTTGGGCGCGTAAAATACCTCAGGTAAATTACGTGGTTTTTTACGGTAAAATACAAGGTAAATTACTTGACTAGTTTTTGACATGAGGTAAATTACTGGAACATAACCTCCAAACTGTCAAACTAATTATTTAAAATTTAAATAAACCGATGAGCAAAGGTGGCAGGCATCGTTATATATCATTATACCCAACATTCTTTAATATTTTCTTGCAAATTAAGGAAGAATCCGACAAACAATCGGATATAATATAATTTTTTGTCAATAATAAACGATTTAAGTAACATAACCTAAAATTTAACAAATGTTTCTTATTGAGATCTGAAAAATTTGTCTTCTTATTTTAAATTACGAAATTATGACATTGGAATAACTTTTATTTTAACTGTACATCAGATTCTTCCTAAATGTAAGGTGATTCGTGATTTTGTTTAATTTTATGTTTCTGCAACATTGTTGACAACAAAATGTGAGGTTATAAACGATTTCATTTGAACCAGGTAATTTCAATGGAGTTGAAGAAAGCCGGTTTTTCTCAAAAATATCGTTTTTTCTTGCCTTAGACAATGTGTAATAAAACACTTTTTTGTAATAAAAGGTTTTTAAATCTTAAATAATTACAGTGTTATTTATTAAAAACATAAAAAAAATAGGACGTCAAACGGTCAAATTAAAAATAATAATAAGTCCGCCATATTGAACGTGTAATTTACAGTATTTTACAGTTTATTACGTAAAATACCTCGTTTGAGGTATTTTACGTAGAAAATCTAAAGTGACGCGTCACTTCCCATCACTGGCGAGATGGTAGTCGCTCGTAACAAGATTGTGACGCGCCGAGTCAGATTCACGCGGCAAAATTCTTAAAATTCAAACTTTTATAAGAATGTTAATATGTGTCCTGACGCGGTGAAAGGGACCTTACGTCCAAAAAAATTATTTTTGAGATATTAATACTAATCTATCAATTTTGAGGTGCTCTTTCGTATACAAAAAACAAAATTTTATTTTACTTACACATTTTTTTGTTATTAACGATTAAACACGGTCAATGTGAAGTGTTTTACACGCTAGCAGAAGGCAATTCAGAAAATTAGCCCCTCTACTTTCTTATACTACCTACATGCCATACACATACGACTATTTTGTTTCGGGTAACATGGACAAATATCAATGTGTGACGAGTAGTGGGGCAGAACTTTAACTCAGGTTCTCAACCAATCAGAAAGACTCAACTTCTAATACGGTTTCTGTACAATTCACTGTTTGGACGTAAGGTCCTTTTCTCCGCGTCAGGACACATATAGTTCTTGAATGTAGATTCTGAATTTATTTGGAAGCGGAATCCTTGACGATGATGGCTCGTTTCCGCAACAAAGAACTTAAAAGCTCAACTCCCGTGGTGAAAAGCTATTAATTTGTTACCCTGTAAAAAAAAGTATTGGGAGGTACGGGATTCCGTATTGCAAGTGCCAACCTGCCAATGCGGTATTCGCGAATTACCGCATTGGGTGTCGTGGTGAATACGGAAATCAAGGGGTCCCAATGCGGTGCCAGTTTTAAGCTTTAAAAAAACGAAAATACGTGACAGGAGGAAATAATTAGTGTCAGTGGAGAAATATGCGAGTTAAAGGAATGAGAAAATAATAATAGTGAGTGTAAAAATGAAATTTTAAGAAAAAAAGGTAAGTTGAACTGTCAAATATGGGCCCAATGCGGCATAGGCTGATTTCAATGCGCCACAGCAAAAGCAACTTTGACTGGTTTGAATGGCGTGAAATAGGTAAACAAACATTTTCTAACACATTTGTCTCCGTACACAGACACTTTTCACTAAATCTGCCAACGTACAATTGGTAAGCATCTTCTAAATTACAATAATAGAAAATATTGTTTAGATTCATGCAGAAACGTGGTTATAAAATAAAAAATTGGAAAGTAATGTAATGCAAATCATATGTCAGCTGGGCCACTGTGTTCGCTCGATTCGCTCTGCTTGCTTCTGCCCTCTACTGGCGACTTGCACTATGTACCGATTGTGTACCGCATTGAAAGCAGCCTACGCCGCATTGGACTCATATTTGACAGTTCAACTTACCTTTTTTTCTTAAAGTTTCATTTTTACACTCACTATTATTATTTTCTCATTCCTTTAACTCGCATATTTCTGCACTGACACTAATTATTTCCTCCTGTCACGTATTTTCGTTTTTTTAAAGCTTAAAACTTGCACCGCATTGGGACCCCTTGATTTCCGTATTCACCACGACACCCAATGCGGTATTTCGCGAATACCGCATTGGCAGGTTGGCACTTGCAATACGGAATCCCGTACCTCCCAATACTTTTTTTTTACAGGGTAATTTATAATTGTCAGGAATTATTGTTAGTAAATTTCGATTAAATTAAAGACTTCTAATTTTGTTCTATTTTAACTTTATTTATTCCTTGCACAAGTTAATACTTCGGAAGTAGAACAATTTCTGCCTTCTCGTTTTCCTCCGAGACCCTACGGTCCCATCCTGGGGGCCTCCGCCCCCATCCCCGAGTGCCAGGAAGGAAGGCGAAAGTACGCCTCCTTTACTCTAATTCGTTAAAAAGAGGAAAAACCCAAAAAGGCGGAAAAAGAAGGTGTTTCAGATTTTTTCTAACTAGTCCATGCAGCAGGGATGACGAAACAAAAGCATCCCCTTTTTATTGCTCAGGCAAAAAAAAGGGTCTTGGGGTTTCATGGTAACCAGATGCGCGATTTACTCGAGTTTCTTTAAGAAGCAATAAAACCATAAATGTGAATTTCAAAAACGTGACAAATAAGTAAAACATGTACTTATTTTTAGTGTTATACTCAAATAATCCTAAAATATTTATTACGGGAAGGATTAAGTTTCGTCGCCTCCACTGCATGCTCTATTGTATTTGAGTTTATCATTTTTTCCACTTAAGATTTTACTGTGGGAAAGTATTTTGTCGATTTGCCCATGTTGCTTGCCAATATTCTAAACTATACGTAAAAACTTCAATAAATTAAAATGTGTTTATTCGATTATTAATTAAATTATTATTTGAATAAAACCGCAAATTTAGTGCTGCCTCTATCGAGAGACGAGCGTATCATGCGCATACGTCACAAGATTATGACGCGCCGAGTTACTTTACGCGGTAAAGTTCTAAAAATTTAAACTTTTATTAGGATTTTTAATATTGTCTTTGAATTTAGAGTTGTTGTTTGTCTCGAAGCGGAATCCTCGACGATGATGGTCCGTTTCCACAATGAAGAGCTAAGAAGCTCAACTCCCGCGGTGAATTATTTACTAATTATTGAAATGGAAAATAAAAGAGGTGTTTCATTAAAATGAATCGAATTATTTATAGTTTACAAACTTCAGTTTTTTATTTCGCTTAATGTTATTTTTTGCAAAAAATTACAAAGCGGTCAAATGACATTTGAGCAAAAATGTATTAAATATTTAATTAAAATTTTTTACATAATAGCATATATTTGCAAATCTCTATAAATATTTTAATTTCTGCTTGTATTTTTATAGGTACTTACAAAAATTATAATATTTTGCATAAACTTACGTTTTTCAAAGTTGCAGTTTATATAGACAGGTCGAAAAATATTTCTCACGTCGATTCGGTAGCCGCGGTCGTTAAGCGTTTAGATAGATAGGTCATACTTACGGGGTTCGATTCCCATATGGTTCAAGTTTTAATTTAATTCTTCCAGTTTAATTAAAATGTTTGTATGTTTGGAGCG